GGTAAATAAATTTCTTGCACCACTGGTTTTATAAAATCTTTTTTAAACTTATCCAAACAATTGTTATTTTCTATAGTTGCTCCAAACAATTGATTAAAACATCTATCTAACATAGAACTAAGAAAAGCAAGTTTGAGACTTGTCTGATGTGAACATCTAACAAGTTCATCCCAACTCTCTTCCATCAATTGACGATTCTCCACCATCACTTGGTGGGTCTCTACCACCATCTTGCGGTTCTCATCGGGGGCATCAGATCAAACACAAGTGTCCCACTAGGTGTGCCAATCTGTTTTCCAGCGAGGAAAATCTCTTGTGTTTGAATTCAATAAATGCACCTTTGACTCGCACGAAACTACACCACAAATTAATCCCGACTAGAGCCCAAGTTTTTAAACTCTAGCCGGATGCAATATAGGGCAAGTATTTAGAATGTCGACCCAGGCCGGTCCATATACCCCTACTTCAATCGCTTAGATTGTTATCTAGCAAACTTTTTTGGGTTTAAAGCTAAGAAAACTACAAAATGAACAGACAAGAAAAGTAAATCGAGGAGAATTCTACTTTAGAGGACTTCACCTGGGTATTGCTCCCCCTAGTCTCATGCTAAGAAGCGACAAACAAAGCTCTAGTGTGAAGGACGTGTTCATACACCGCGAGGTGGGCGCAACTAGCTAGGGACAAACTCCCTTAAATGAAGGAAAATCAACAAATATAAGCTAGGGGAACTAGGTCTCTTAACCGTTAGGTCAAGGATTGTGATTCATAACTAGAGAGCCTAGCCCTCTTTACCGATTAACCAAGGAGATCCCTAACTCTCTTAGTTAGCTAATTTAGAGTCGTTGTAACAAGTTAGAAAGCTAACTCTCTTAACCCTTCGGCTAAGGGTGACAACGATAGGCTAGAAAACCTAACCCTCTCAACTAGCCGACTAAGGATTGCAAACCAAACCCTCAGAACTTACTCCGGGCGGGGAGAGACCAATCCCGGTGGAATCACGACCCTACTCTAATACTTGAAATTTTTGTCTTAATCGACCTAAAGGAGGTTATCCAAGTGGATACGAAGTCTAGCTTCCTATTGGACCAAAAGGGGATTTCCACCCTCTAGGTCAATTTTATCCAATATTGAGTTAAAGCTAGCACACTCAATCGTTCATGAATAATACCTCAAATAAAATATGACATTCAATCAACACAATAGGTTCATGTTATTACATCCTAACACATAAAGAGACTAGGGTTCACAATACCCAAGTGAGTAGGTAGGTTATTCCATAGCTAAGCAAGAGAAAACAACAAAAGGGGGAAGAAAGAACCATGAAGTGGTGCCAATCTTTCCTCCTTGTTGCTTTAGACACCCTTGAGAGGAAGAAAATCTTCAATCCTCTAGATAGGAACAAGCCTAAAGCTCCTTCTTCCTCCTTTGATTTGCACTTTCTCACTCAAGAAGAAACTCTAACCTCTCACTAAAATCCTCTTTATTCTGAAAATGAAAACCTAACCTAAAAATGAAGATCCCCCTTTTTTCTTACTTTCAGCTCTCCATTTATACTGAGATCGCGCCCAGTTCACGGCCTCCAGTTCACGGCCGTGAACACCTAAACGCTTCCGTTAACTCGGTGTCGTGGCCAAAATGCATCGCTTCACTTCCCGAGGTTCACCAGTTGTGCTCAAAGTTCAGGGTCTTAGCGACCGTGAACTGCCTTGTCGTCAGTAATCTCTGGAACCCCCCCTGGACGCCTCGCTATTCACGGTTTGTGGTTTCAGTTCATGGTCCTGGCAACCGTGAACTCGCAGCTCTGATCGTGAACTGCGGCTGGTTCCTGGACGCCTAAGCTTTACTGTCACGGGGCAATTGTCACGGTACTTTGGACTTTTCTTCTGTTTTTGCGCTTTTTGACCTCCAATCATCTCGAAACTCATCCTCGACCCTTCCATACATGCTAGGACCTGAAATGTATCAAAACAAGCACAACCTAGCATGAAATATATCGAGGGACGATGAAATTCAAAGCCAAACCATCAAGAAATGAGGGGTAAAATGTGTACAATTGGACCCGATTCAACCTTTAACTTTTTGAACAGAGTGATAACAGGACAAAGTGATGGAAATTACATGGATAACAGTTCATGTCATATGTTCACGGGCAAGGGGGTGTGAAGATCACAAGTAAACCATGAAGTGTGCAAGTTTCGAGGAGCATTTAGACTTCTCACAGCTTTGCACATATCACGGGCTGAGGGCATGAAGAATACAATGAAACTGTGAAGTGTATTAATGAAACGATATGTTTTGTGTCGGTGTCACAGTCTCACTGCCAACATCATGGTCCTTACGCGTGGTCGTAAAGATTGCACTGAGGGTATAAATATGAGGAGTGATCATATTTCAAAGGAGAGTAGAGGTTGAGAGAGATATTTGGTTCTTCTTCTACATTCTAAAAAGAGCAAGTGACGAACCGTGGAAGAATGAAGAGGAATTTGGCATACAAGATCAAAGGAGGCCAGATTTCATCTTCAACACCATCCCAAGCAACTAGGAAGAAGAAGATTCATCTTTTCATGGGGTTTTCCTTCTCTTTAGTTGTAATTCTTTCTCTAGGCAAGGAGTAGATTTTCCATTCACACGGATAATATGAACCCTAGTCTAGGATGTTGTAGTTTGATGATTGTGAACTCTATGTTGTGATTGGCATGTTTAATTATATATTTATTGAGTATTTATCATTATATTTGAGAGTCCTTGATCAAGTCCCTCAATTTTGGGACTAATTTACCTAAAAGAGAATAGATCTCCTTAGGGTAATTTGGGTCACTATTCAATCATCGTAAGAGGGCCATGAATGAGGGTGATTGGTTTCTTTACGCCGTTCTGAGTCATCGCCCGAAAGAGTGGATTTTGTTGCGCTAATTTCCTAATCCGGTAGTTTGGTATGCCTCTTTGGTTAGACCAATTAGGCGGGTTAGGAGTAGGACAACTCGAATAGTGATTCCTAACTAGCTTTGATATCCTAATGATATATATAATATGCAAATCATGCTAGAATATCACGTTATCAACTCAACAAGAGACTAGGGGGATAATCATCCGAGTGAAACCTTCTCCCTTGAATTCAACCTTGTTTTATTCTTGTTTGTTTAGATCATTAGCTTAAAGCAATGTTACTACTAGATAATTAGTAGTTTGTTGAAGTAAGGATACATAGACTGGGCGAGTTTGATAATTAAAAAAGTAATTGTTCTATACTACCCTAGTTTAAGGTTCCATTTAGCCTTCGATTGGCAGTGTAGTTAGAACCGAGTTTAACTTTTATGGCACCGTTTCCCGGGACAATGGTTTATTATTTGAAAAAAGTAAACTACTGTTAATCTAGTATTTCTTTTCTTGCATTGTAAGTTGGACCTTGCTTTGTTGGCTCTTGTTTGTGTTATTTGGAGTGATTGCAGGTGGCATGTGAAACGGTGCAATTCGTCACCCTTGGAGCCATTAGACAACAACATCAACTCGACTTTTCGTCTACTTGCCTGTGAGAGGGAGGTAAGGGTAGCAAGAGAGCGATTTTTGACGCGGGCTCAACCCGAGGTTCAAGAAGAAGTTGAAGTTGAAGAAAAAGTGTTCTTGAATGGAGATTTGGCGAATGAACCCGCTCAACCCGGCTCAACATCACTAAATATCATTAATAAAGATACGAGTGTTAAATTGACATACCGACATAAATATAGTTGGTTAACCTCTCATAAATGCACATTAGGTTCACGCTCGAAAGACCACATATATTTTTAAATAATATTTACCAAAATAATTTAAATGTAATGATAAATTAATATAACGAATATACCACATTTATAAAAGGAGTAATAATTTCAAAATTGAGTATGAAATATCTCTCATTTTAAAAATTATCACCTAAGTTTATAAATAGAAATCCTAACAAGTTGTTTGGAATCAATAAATGGAGAATTCATTTTATTTTAGAATTAATTCCTATGCGAATTCATTGTCAAATGAATTCCTATATTTTGAACGTCATATTAAATTTTTTAAAAATAAATTTAATTAAATTCTTAAATCATGTTTGAAATACGTTCAGAATTGAATTAAATTAAAAGTTTTCAACTATATCCTTATTAATTTTTAGCCAAAACAAAATCGCTATTACTCTTTGAAAATTCATTTTCTAAATACGCAAGTGCCAAATTTATTATTCAACCGATTCAACTAATAAAAAAATGAAGTTCGTAAAAACTAGTAAAAACTTGCGCAATTCATTTAAAACTTCCACCACAATTCCTTAAAATTGATAAAAATAATTTATATTCACGCAGAATTACAAATTTAGAATTGTAAATATAATATTTTATATTTAAACTATAAAATTTTATTTTAAAATAAATTACTCAAAATTTATAAAATTTATTTATAGCATGGGAACGAACAAACCTAGTTGAGAAAGTAATGGGAAATTAGTAAATTGCTCAACCACCGTGCACGGGGAGGGCACGGCGGCGGCGTCTATAGCTGATATGCGTTTGGGCTTTAGATGGGCATACCAGGCCCAAAAGACTTGCCCCGGAAAGAGACGCTCCATATGGCCCCCGCAGGATTGGGATTTGGGATTGAGAACTGAGAAGGAGAAGTCAACAATTGGACCGAAGCTAGCCTTTCAAAATCAAATCGGAGCGTCTATTGCCAGCCGTTTCACAATCCAACGGCCTGGTCTCATAATCATCAAAACACCCTCCCTACTCTTCCTCCAACGATTACAATTCTCGCTCCTCTATAACGGTCGAAAATCTTCCCAAAACTAAACGCCCCCAAATTTCCGTCAGAAAGATAATAATAATAATAAATAAATAAGGAATTAAAGCCCCCTCTTCACTTCTCTCCTCATTCCTCTAGCCCTTCTTCTTCTTCTTCTTCACTCTTTCAGTGAAACTTCAAGAAAACGAAAGCGATCCAGCGATATTCTCTTTCTGGTTTTCGTTTCTCCGAGGACGATGAGCGTTCTTCAGTACGCGGAAGACGCAGTGACGATGAATGCGGAGCAGATGCAGATATGGGACAACGCGGCGTTCGACAATGGCGAATCGGAGGATTCCATGGCGGCCAAGGCTTCTTGGTGGTCTCAATCCATCGATTCCAATTCCTCCAGTAAGGAGAATATGAACCCGGCGTTTGACAAGTCTCCTGTTTCTCTCAAGCCTCCGAGTTTGGCCACACCGTTCAAGATTAAGCCCATCCTCCACCCGAAAACCCTCGCCGTCGTCAATCCCCTCAAGGCGAAGCAGGGGATTTTGTCTTCCAAGATTTCGATTCCGGAGGAGGGAGGAGAAGTAGTAGAAGAAGGGAAGGATCGGGATGAGAAGAAAATAGATTTGGAGATTGAATCGATCGAGAAGGAGATTCGGCGATTGTCGACAAGACTCGACGCCCTCCGGCTGGAGAAGGCGGAGAGACAGCTTAAAACCGTCGAAAGAAAGGGAAGAGTTGTAGCGGCGAAGTTCATGGAGCGGAGGCAGAGTGTGAAGTTTGAAGAACCGCCGCCATTCCCTTCGAGTGTGAAGCCCACAATTGGTCGGCGAGGTGTTAGTTTGGGGCCGGCGGAAATCGCTACTAAAGCTAGGTTACTGAGCAAGCAAGAGATGACCCCTGTTTCTTCCACTGCCAATCGCCGGAAATCTTGCTTCTGGAAGCTTGACGAGATCGATGAGCTGAAAATGACAAAGGAAAGAGGGAAGAGCCAGAGCGTGAGTCCCAGATCTCGCAAGACTGCAACCAAACCCCAGCCGCCGAAGCAGGCTCAGTCGACGGTGGGATCCAAACGGCCGGTGAAGAAAGAAGATGGAGTTCTGACCCTGATCCAGCCCAAGACTCTCTTCAAAGAAGGCGAGAAATCAGTCCCCAACAAGAAACCCTCGAAGCCAGGGCGGATCGTGGCGAGCAGGTACAATCAAATCGCGACGAACCAGTCCACTGGGAGCTTGACGGAGGCTCGGAAGAGGTCTCTACCGGAGAGCGACAAAGAAGACGGAAACAAACGGCGGGCCTCTCGTGGGAATGGATTGAATCAGAAAACCGAAAGCATCAAAGTGAAGAAGAAGTGGGAGATTCCAAGGGAAGTGGTGATGTTCAAAGGGGAAGACGACAGTGTTGATAATGACTCAGAGGAATCCCCTTCTTCTATTTCTGCACTAATCAGCGCCGACGACGGATGGTTGCCCAAGATCAGGACTGCTCGCCCTCGTTCCACGGCGGAGACTCCACGAGACTCGGGTGCGGCGAAAAGGGTAGCGGATTTGGTGGGGACGAAGTCATATTTCGCCATGGATGAGGTCCATGAAGAGGGTGGATCCGTGTGCGTTGCCCTGCGCTTCGAGGAATAGTGTGGTGAGTAAGTAGCTTATCGGTTGGAGGATGGGATGTTTGATGTTTCCAGTCGTTCTGTCAATGTTTGTGAATGGGTTTGGTAGTAGAGAGCCGCCATAAGTATTGGTATGGTGGAAGAAAGCTTACGTTTCTGGTTTCTCTTTTTCAATTCCTCTTTGGACATGTTTTTGGTATTGAATTGTTTCAAGTACTCTGTAGTAGCCATGCTTATCTGAGCTGCCATATGCAAAATAAGCTCGTCTGTTCGGCCTGCTCTGCTCTGCTATCTCTCTGTTTAGTATCAGAGAATCCCTTGAATAGCAATGTGAAACTTTTGTTTGCCTTGGTTGAGTTGAGTCTAACAGTATGTAACTTGAAGGGAAGGTAAACATAGGATTCCTTCTAATCAACATTCCGTCTAAGTTTTGTCTATGGGTGGATGGATGGATCATCAATTCATCATCACTCGGAAGTCAAGCCTTGAATGTGGACATTTTTGTGGGTTTGCAGAGCAAAAACTGGCAAAATTTCACATGGGAAGCCGGAGGATAAGGACGAAACATTGAGTAGTGAGACATTTGAGAGTTGTCGGCATTCAGAAGAAGCCTTATTTTCATCTGCCGTGACCCAAGATTAACTAAACAAATAATGCAGCAGCCATTTCCCAACCTGGAATCTTGCTTGCTGCGTGGAACTGCACATGTCTGAGTTTTCCCAAGTTCATAGAATTCTGGGTCCTATGTATAGGGATCTTGACTTTTTTTTATTCCTCCGTCGTCGCTAATTACCTCTAGAAGTATATGACAATTGACAGGTCAATACTAATTTGGAATGGGCCCATAATTAATACACTGGACCATATTTATGGCCAATACTACTTTTTATTGGTTCACGTATTCTATGATTCAATGAGGTGGCAATACTTGAGTTTAATAAATTGCAGCCCAAACCCGAAACGGCCCAATTGGACAAACCAATTTTTTTTTTTATGAATGGGTGAGCCTAACTTAGGTAACCAGTTCGTGGAGCGGGAGCGGGAGCGTGAGAGCGTCTATTTTAGAAGACTTCGATATTGAGAGCGTGAATAAAGCGTCATTATTATATTATTATTTATATGGAAGACTTTATAATAGTCCACCAAACTTCAATCCGCAATAGTTTCTTACAATCGCCAATACTATACATGCGTCATGCGTGTAATTAACTAATTGTCTATAATGTGAATTAGTTAATTAAGTAATAACATGGGTCTTTAGTTTCAGACCTCTTGTCAAAAATATTGGCCGAGTGGTATGAACTTGAAGTTACTTATTTTCTTTTCTTTCTTCATTTAACATTTTGGGCCTTTCCTTCTCTTTAAGCCCATTAAGTTGAGGAAATGAGGCAAGATGACGACATTTAACTAAAATGAAACCATTCATTCCCTATGCCCCCATCATCTTCTTCCTCTCGGTTCTGTTTCCCAACTTTTCCTTCTTTCTTTACAAATCAAAATCCCTAATTTCAACTCGATTGTCATATTCTTCCCAGACAACGACGATCTGCAACCACGAACATACCATGAATTCCTTTTCCATATCTTTGATCCTCTATGAATACACTGTCATCGTCGACCTTCCAATCGATTACTGCTCTAAATCCATCTCCTCTTGAGGGCGCAACAGAGCTACTGCAGATTGCCCTTCTATATAGAGTCCAACAACCACAACCCAAATCGCGTATTTTGTTGCAATCGATGAGCAAGAAGAGCAAGGCGTATTTGGTGGCAGGCGGGGCAACGAGGAAAGAGGGACAGACGGCGATGGACGCGAGAAAGGGGCGGAAGCTATTGGGAGTTCAGCCGAGAGAAAGCTAGTTTGGCAGAGCAAGGAATTCGCGCTCGGGTGGAAGCAAAGCCGCGCTCTATCTTAATTGAGTTCGCGAATTTTAGGCAAACTCATTTGAAAACGCGTTTCCACGCTCCAAAGTGAGAGCGACAACCCAATGGTGACGAATTAGGTAACCTAAAGCCTAACTCCATACTAGCTACAAGAAGAGGAAGAAAAAGAAAAACTCTATAACACATCGGCTACCCAAACTACCTGACAAAACCAGAAGCTGAGAAACCCTACAACAAGCATACACTTTGTACTACAGTGAGCGGACCAGAGCCGAGTTAGCTAACTGCGAGTCTCCTGCTTATTTTGCTTCCATCACTTCCTGCATTCTTTTGACAAGTCCTACCACCGTTAACTGCTACCACCAAACACTCTCCAGCATCTTTCTCGCCATATCTTGCTTAGTACAAGACACTAGAGTATTCTGCCAACCAAGCACTTACTGAGTCGTCTAGTAGCTAGTACCACCGCCTGCTCCAAGTCACTGGGAATCGGAAGCCGCCATGGGGAGGGGAATACAGTGCTCCACACATCCTGCACATAGGGACACTGAAAAAACAAATGGTGATTGGTCTCTAGCTCTTGACTACAAAAGGGGCAAGAGAATCGTCCCAAAAGAATCAACCAAGTAATGGCAGAATTCTTGGGAATACCTCCTTTCCAAACCAATTTAGACCACCCCACATTTTCTCCACGCGGTCTAAAGTTTTGCCAAACTCTACTGATCTTGAATCTAACCATTTGCTCACCTTCCCACTCTACCCCTCTACTGGTTCTGCACAGCTTCCCCACCACCTCATTTCTCAGCTTAAGAATTTTATTCCACACCCAGGATCCTCGAGTTTTCACCTCCCAAATACTCAAGTTTCAGAGGTGATACTCATTAATCCAAGCTATCCAGAGTGTATCCACATCAGATAGTATGCCCCAAATATGTCGGGTGAGGCAGGCTTTATTCCAGGAACATAGATCCTTGAATCCCATACCACCTTCGTCTTTGGGCAAGGCCACTATCTGCCATGAAACTTTGGCTCTCTTCTTTTTTTCAAAGTCACTCCAGAAAAACTGTGAGCAAAGGTTCTATTTGTATAATCACCTTCTTTGGCAGGAGGATGACATTCATCCAGAACTGAGTCATGTTTGTCAGCACTGAAACGACAAGCTCAAGCTTTCCTGCATATGTCAGGAGCCTTGGCTGCCAACCCATGATCCTCCCTGCAATTCTGTCAACCAGACTTTTACAGTCTCCAAAAGAGAGCTTCCCTGCATTCAGAGGCAACCGAAGGTATCTAACAGGAAGCTTTCCTTCTTTAAAACCAGAACATAAGACCAATTCTTCTTGCAAATTCTCAGAGACCCCATCACTAAAGATTTCACTCTTGCTTGGATTGCATCTTAATCCTGAAACAAGATAAAACTTGTGGAGCACCTCTACAACTACTGAAACCCCCTCCACATACCCCTTGGTAAATAGCAAGAGGTCATCAACAAAACACAGATGTGTTAAGCTAATTATCTTGCACTGAGGATGATAGGGCAAGATGGCACGAGCAGCTGCTCTATTAAGCATACAACTAAGTACTTCCATGCTAATAGTGAATAAGTAGGGGGAGAGGGGACAGCCTTGATTCAGTCCCTTCCTAGCTTCAAACAGACCTGTTAATCCCCCATTAATGCATACAAAAAACCTAGCAGAGTATAAGCAACCCTTCACCCAATTCACAAACATTTTTGGAATTCCCATGGCAGCCAAAGTACAGAGTAAGAAATCCCAATCAACACTATCAAAAGCCTTTATTATGTCTATTTTTAGAGCACACCTAGGAAAAACACTCTTCCTGTTATACCATTTCACCATTTCATGTGCTAGCACTATATTATCAGTAATAAGCCTTCATCTGATAAAAGCAGACTGGTTCGGACTTATGAGCAGAGGCAGAACTGATTGAAGCCTATTCGCTAGTATCTTAGAGAAACATTTATAGACAAAATTACAACAGGAGATAGGCCTAAAGTTCTTCATAGAGTTTGCGTTTGGTACCTTAGGAATGAGGGCTAAAATGGTGCAATTTACCTCCTTCCGCATTTTCCCAGAGCGAAATAATTCCTGAACAGCTTCAGTGAAAATCCCCCCAACCAGATCCCAATGTGTTTGGAAAAACTCTGCTGGATACCCATCAGGCCCAGGAGCTTTCCCCTTCTTCATTCCCATTACCACTTTCTTCGCCTCATCGCCTGTAACCATAGAGCATAGCTCCTCCCCGCCATTTGCCAAATGGAATTTTAATAACTTCCTTAACGTGTCCACGGAAACTCTACGTAAATTCAGATCCTGAGCACCCAGTAACTTCTTGTAGAAGTCTACTGCTTCTAGGCCAATCTCCTCAATGTTCTCCAGTACATGCCCTTCATCTGTAACTAGCTGCTTGGTAGTATTTCTTGCCTGCCATGTCTTCATCATACTATGAAAGAAACTATTATGCTTAAGCGAATTAGCATTCCCACTGTTTACCCACTGTTGCTTAGACTTCTGCTTAAGGAAAGACTCCTCAGCCCTTTGGAGCTCAAGAAGCTGGACCATGCACCTCTTCTCAGCCTGAAAGACTGAGGAGGCAGGGCGCTCCAACACTTCTTGCTGCGCCTGTGCAAGTTCTGCCTTTGCATACTACACTCTATCATGAATTTCAGAGTAATATTCCCTATTAAGGCCCTTCAGACGATCTATTATGCTTCGCAATTTCCGATATAGCCTAGCCATAGCTGAACCAGTAGCAGAACAGAGCCAACCTTCCTTCACCAGCCTATTATATTGAGGGTGAAGTGTCCAAAAACTAAAATACTTGAAGGGTCGAGGCAGAGTTCGAGTATTTGTGTCCATACTGATGAGTAATCCACAGTGATCAGAGAGCCCTAGCAAGAGGACCCTTACTGAACTCTGAGGATAAGCCCCCAACCACCTTTCTGTAACAAGAGCTCTATCTTGCCTTTTAGCTATTGGGTTTTCTGATTGCTTGTTAGACCAAGTAAACCAGGGACCTATTAATTTTTGATCAATCAAATCCATCTCATTTATCCATGACTTAAAATCCAAAGTACTCTCCCCCAAGACCCCTATATTTGAACTCTCTGTGTTGTCCACAATCGCGTTAAAGTCACCAGCCACTAGCCAAGGAATCGATAAGTCTACCTTCCCAGTAATGTCTTTATACATCTGCCTCCTTTCTACAACATTATTTGAACCATATACAAAAGTGATCTGAGATTGACCCGCCTCCTAAAGAATACCCTGAACAAAATTACTGCCACTTTCCACAATACTGAATTTTAGCTCTTTTTTCCAAAGAACCCAGATTCTTCCTACACCAACGATTGAATAAGTCTCCCTATGTTCCCATCCAGGGAATTTATCAGCTATAATCTTCTCCACTTTATCTGAACTAACTCTGGACTCCAAAATAACAACTAACTCCACCTTATTTCGACGGATCGACTCCACTATGCTGTCTTGCTTTGTAGGGATATTGAATCTCCGCATATTCCAGACTAAAATATTCATGTTTTAGCAGAATATTTTGCCCCCTTTGGAGGCCTACCAGGCTTACCTTTCTTCTTTTGCAACCCTTCCTTCCTCAGTTCAGGGAAATGGACAGGATCCTTCAAGGGAGAAACTATTAGCTCACCAACCTCAAACTGGGCCAGAGAAGACATAACCCCAAAATAGTTTTGAACAACCTCATTTGCCTCAAAAACCTGATGGATTTCCATTTCAGATGGCAATCCACACCTCTGCCAAGAAGTAGAACCCTCAGACAAAGAAGAGGTAATATTACCCATAGCAATCTGTAAACCTTCCCCGTCAGCAGTTTGAGGAATCTCTTTAGACAAGCCATCCACTACCTCAACAAGAGAACCTAGAACACCCCTCTGCACCCAGGGAGTCTCATCAACCACCTCTAACCCCTGTTGCCCCAACCTCTTCGACGTGTATCACACCCTGAACCTCCTACCTCTCCTCCTGAGCCCCTTGCTACTCCTGCATATTCTCCTCCACACAATTATGCCCAAACTTGCAACATTTATCACAAATTTCCGGTTTATTGCAGTATTCGATATGCACATTATACGCAGGCCTTCGATCAGGAACAAGACGCAGAAAGTCCGGGAACGCCGAATCCATCTCCATTTCAACACAGACACGAGGATACCCCAATCTTTGGCCTAGCCGAGTGGACTTATCGAACCAGAGAGGTTTGCCAAGCATACTAGCTAGCCTCGTAAGGATACGACCCGTGCCATGCTCAAGAGGGATATCTAGAAACCGCACCCAGATAGGAATTGACTTCCTCGGCTGCTCTGCCCTAATTCCTGGTTCCCACTTCCTCAGATAACACATGTCGTTCTTCAGATGCAAAGGACCACTCGAGAACACCCAGTGAGCAGTTTCAGCAGTTGGAAATTGGAACAGCAACAGCCTTTCACCCAACCATGAAACCCTAATCGACCCCTTCTTACCCCACAGACAATTTGCCCAAGACTGGACTTGGCGAATATGAGGAGAAGAAGAAAGGAATTGGCCTACTAGGCAGTGCTTCCACCTTGCGATGCCCTCCTCTTCCAATTCTGCCAAGATACGTAAGCCTCCATCCACGATTTCAGGCTCCACGTACCCCAACCAATTTTCCTCTGCAATGCTGAAAAGCTCCGCCCACGAACGACTCGGCAATGAGCTCATTCTTTGACGAACTGCAATATCAGCACCAAAAAGCAAACTGAACAGCGGCCGACGACAGACGCCGGAGACGGCAGGCAATCGCCGCAGACCAGGCGATGACTAACCCTCAGAATGCCGGAGGCGGCGAACCATCTAGAGAGAGAGAGAGAGGAAAGAGAGAGGAAAATTCCCTGAAAACATATTTTCGGGTAAAGGATTTTAATTTCACAAACTGAAATATTACGTCCTGACATTTTTCTTTTCCCTTTCTTTTTTGTTATTAATTCCTATAAAATTCAATAAAATTATCATTTATTTCTTCGGGAAGAAAACCCGTTACCATGAACAAGACTCATATTTGTCGCTCTCCTGCTCGGTCTTACCGTCAAAATCACTTACGGTGAGTTTTCCATTGGCTCCTTCAACGTTCCCCTTCGGATCCTCTATCTCCTTCCAACAGCGTCGCGCAACCCATAATACACGATCCAAAACCAAAGAAACAGAGGTTCGTCCTTTATCTGCATTGCCACCCTCATAGACCCCATAAAAGCTTATATAAGAACCAATGTATCAAATTAATATCCTACATATCGATATGGTGAGTCATGTCCTTGATATACAAGTTTGATAATTCCACTTTCATGGATTGAGTCCCTAGAGGGTTACACAGAGGTATCCAATATGTGGAATGCCTTTTGGGGTGTTTGATTCTTGGTCCAAGTACTCTGTTTTTGCTGTTCTGGGAGATCCAAGGCTAATGTTCTAAGTACTTATATTAGTTTGCAGTTAATTGTGCGCTTTTTGCAGTTCCTATCTCGTATCTACCTTGGTCGTCCGGATTCAACGACCATCTCTTTCTTGATGATAGGAAGAAAGGGGAAATAAAAGGGGTGGAGAGGGGATCACGGTGAGGGAGATAGAATAGAGTGGGCGGGGAGATGAAGTTCTAGACTTTGATTCTACCTGCTCTTCATTGAACGGCGTTGAGAAGAACATTTAGTTTACTGGAGGCGAATGGAAGAGACGGTAAAGGAGATCAGATTAGTGACAGAGAAGTTCGCAGGAATTGCTTTTGACAGTCCGATGGGGAGGGAGAAGCAAGGAAGATGATGGATTGCTTCTGGGTTTAGGTTTTTTTTTTTTGCCGATTCCCGGAGAAATACAAATTAAGTAAAAGGTGAATTGAATTTTAAGGGAATTAATTAATATCGAAAAACACAAAAGGAAAAACGGCTGCTAGTCATGATTTGGTTTGTGCGGTTCAGGCATTCATCGGCCCGGTGACTCACTTCAACTGTCACCCTAGGAATTGGCCAAGTGAAACCACTTCCTAAAGCGTAGTATAGCGGGTTAGGTTTAAAAGTCAACCCGGGTCCTAGATCTGATGACTACTCAGTGAATTCTTGTTATCTAGCAATGAAACTGGAATGCAAGTCTAACTAACAAACTAACAAAGCAAGTAAACGGTTGTATTCAGGTTAAGAGAGGTCACCCGGATATGGTTCCCCCTAGACTGCAGTTAAGCCGGATTGTAATTACCAAGTTCAGTTTCTATGATAGTTATACTCCGGAAGGTTCTTAAACAGCCTGAAGTCTCGACTAAAGGTCTTCAGACCCTCTCAATCTGAGTCTCTAGCGGGCGACTAACCTCCACCGGAGTAAACAGATTGAGGCCTTAACAAACAAAACCTCCACTACCGGAGTGAATCCGGTACAGAATAGTGAGTTGGCTCCTCGACTAAAGTCACCAACTCACTACCTTCAATCAAGGGTGCTCTATCAACCTAGGCAGATATTCTCATTCTAGGTTAAAGTAGAAACAACAGGAATTTGATCAGGATTCAAGTCATTCAATCAATCAAACTTCAATTGAACATAATCAAATCATAGAATCAGTACTTGGGCTCATACAATCAAAGCCTAACATACAAATCTAGGGTTCTCCATACCCAAATGAATGGGAGAACTACTCCATGGAGAAAGAAGCAAAAGCAGAATCAGATGCAGAATTCATACTGTGAAGGATGGATTCCTGCTCCTGGACGTTGATTGGCACTCCTCCAAGCTCAAACTGGCCTCCAATGGTGTTGAAGATCAATCTAGGGCACTTGGAGACTCTTGTTCGTCGCTTTCTCTCTCTAGGAATCGTTCTCTCTCTCAAAAACTCGAATCCCCTTCTCTTTGGCTGAAAATCTGCTTAAAAAGGCATCACTGGCCAAAGCACGGTCGAGGGCACGGCCGTGTAATGCCTCAGCCCGCCCGTGCTTTGGCTAGTGTTAATTACACGGCCATGTGTTGGGAGAAAAATAGGCCAAAAATACACGACTATGCTCCTCAAACGGATAAGAACTAGGGGCGCAAATATGTGCAATTACATCGTTATCAAACTCCCCCACACTTAACCGTTTGCTTGTCCCCAAGCAAACCTAACTCAAACCAATGCAACTCTCCAGACCTCTATAGCAACAAACAACCCAGATCGTAGGTAGAGGACTTCCTAGATCATTTAGCAACTTACGAGGTCAACCGACGCACAAGTCATCTCATAGCTCCCTCGGCGAGAGCACTAGTATCGAGTCGGCATCATGGCGAATAGTGAACAGAGGACAAATGAATTGTGGATGAAGAGATTCTCAAAAACAAAGGATCATGGACTCACATTTTTCAAGGTGCTCTATTTTCTTCTTGAAGATGGTTGGAACCCCTTTTCTTTCTGTTTTGCTTGTTTTCTGTTATTTTTTTTTTCCAAGGGTCCCAACCTGCTCTTACGGCCATGCCAGGAGCGGATGACTCGAGCCTCGTGCGGGGGAAAGACATGTAAGGGGGCTGGAGGTAGTAGGTGTAAATTGGGAACGGATTCCCGTCTCCCCTTACACACTTTCGCCCTATTCGCACGTGAGACGGTATTTTGAAGCACATTTCCGAGCACCTGTTATTTTCAAAACATGATACAAGAGTCCATGACAGGTAGAGAGTCCACAACACCACACAATTCAAGGGTCCTAAGATCACTAATTCACTCAATCAACCAACACAATATGAAGAAGAAAGGAGACTTCTTAAATGCATCAACATCCTCCATAGTGCTACACTAACTCCCTAGGTTGCATATTACTATAAAGACTGTCAATTCAAAGCATACTGAGCAGGCAATTGCACGGAACACGTACTTGGAGCCCTCAAATTTCAAAAATTTGGACAGTGGACTAGGCTCCAAGCACACAAACAGATCTAATGCAGTCACAAGATAAACATCCTCCCACACTTAAGATCGACATTGCCCTCAATGGAGAAGAGGGAAGGGAAAGGGGAACGATTTTACCGATATGCACGGACTGCAGGAAGCTGGAAGCGGACCAGTCGAGTGACGCGAACTGGATAGAGGACCAGTCAAGCCAAGCACAGCTAAAGGGGAACAGAAGAGCTCAAACACAATATGTTAGGTCCAATGTCAGCCCAATAAGACATCATCCAAAACAAAATAAAACAAACCAAAACCAAACCGGTTTACAATCCGACTCAAAACACAAGAAAGAAAGTCAAACCGTGGTGGGGTTGCCTCCCCACAAGCGCTTCTTTACCGTCTTTTAGCTGGACGCCCATGGTGGATTCTCAGGGAGGTGAAAGAACAGGTGCCTCCAAGAGCAGATCCACGTCGCTCTTGAGGTACAGCTTAAGGTTGTGGCCATGCACCCGACGGATGCGACCACCATCATCGGTCAGCTCGACCTGGCCATCCGGCAAGATGCAGGCAAGTGAGTACCCGGACGGCCAGGGTGGTCGTGGTGCAGGAGGTGGGACCAGCTCATAGTGGTCTCCACTCTTCTTCCGTGCAGGCTTAGCCACCTGCTGCTTCGGCCGCCACTCCTCGTTGAGCTTTTTGTTCGGAGGCGAGGCTGGATGGAGTGGCGGCGAAGGAATGATAGGAGGGTCCTGCAAAATAAGAGGTGAAGAAGGATACACGACAGGCTCGTGTACCTGATCAGACATAGCATGCACAGGGGTGACAACAATCATAGCACAGTGATCAAATTCAGTCACAGGAAAAGTAGTCTGTTCATTCCCAGCACGCAAGATCAGTTTACCATCATGCACATCAATAAGTGTCTTGGCGGTGGCAAGAAATGGTCTCCCCAGAATCAATGGCACATCCACATTCTCATGTATATCAAGAATAACAAAATCAACAGGATATGTGAATGCACCGACACTAACAAGCAGATCCTCTATGATTCCCCTAGGATGCACAATGGAACGATCAGCTAGCTGAATGCTCATCCTAGTAGGGCTAAGTTCACCTAGGTCTAGCTTTTTATACAACTTATATGGCATGACGTTTATGCTAGCGCCTAGGTCCGCCAAGGACTTGCCTACATGCATGCTGCCAATAGTAAGAGGGATAGTAAAACTCCCTGGGTCCTTGCGCTTTTCGGGCAGCTTGTTCTGCAGGATAGCAGAACACTCCTCGCTCAGCAACACTGTCGAGAGATCCCCAAGTTTCTTCTTGTTGGTGAGGAGGTCTTTCATGAACTTGGCATACTTGGGCATCT